GGGGGGGCAGATGGTGATGCTGATTAAATAAGTGGATTAGCATCAAGGCTAAACCTTTTATTTGTTATTATCCATATTTAACACAGATTATCATGCATTCAAACATGGCCGCCTGTTACCGCCACACACAGCACTGTTAACAGGAAGCAGTTTGTCATCACAGCACAGAGGCGCTACCATCCACTGCTCTATGTCTCCCCATTTACTGTCAGCCTGCTCGTCCAGCCCGGGGTTCAGACCGTAGTATTTCTGCTCACAGACACAGAGGGCAAAGGTCAACCAGCTGCGCTGCCTCCTGAGGCGCAGGCAGACATGATGGTCATGATCAGAGCGGTCCTACCTTCTGCACCTGAAAGATCTGCAGGAAGGGAGAGGAACAGCAGGAAGCAGTCATCAGCAGAGAACATGGAGGAGAAAGCAGCAGGAAAACATGAAGGATTTCAGGAAAGTGGAGAACCGTTCCCTGGAGGTTTAAGGCCTCAGACTGGGCCACCAGACGTTTCCCATCATGCCTCTGGGCTTCTGTCCAAAAAACGGTCCTTCGCTAACGAAGGATCAGGATCAGGACCGGAAACACCAGGAGGAAATCCTCCATCCAACAGAACCCGACACGTAGCGGAGCCACAATAAACACTAAGCTAGGTAGAAGTCTGGACTTTGACTAGGCCATCTCAGCATTTCAGCTATTCTGCTGCTGTGTCTGCTAACACCCAGCTGCTAACACCCAGCTGCTAACACCCAGCTGCTGCTAACACCTTGTACCAACAGCTGCATGCTAACATCCACATACTAACACCCACAAAGTAACACCCAGCTGCTAACACAAACATGCTAACACCCAGCTGCTAACATCCACAAAGTAACAACCAGCTGCTAACACCCACATGCTAACACCCAGCTGCTTACACCCACATGCTAACAGCCACATGCTAACACCCAGCTGCTAACACCCACAAGCTAACATCAACATGCTAACATCACGCTGCTAACACTAACATGCTAACACCAACATGCTAAAACCCGCATCCTAATACCCAGCTGCTAACACCCACATGCTAACACCCAGCTACTAACATCCACAAAGTAACAACCAGCTGCTAACACCCACATGTTAACACCCAGCTGCTTACACCCACATGCTAACAGCCACATGCTAACACTCATATGCTAACGCCCAGCTGCAAACACCCACACGCTAACCCCCACATGCTAAGCCCCACATGCTAACAACCACATGCTAATACCTTATGCCAATAATTGCATGCTAACACCCA